CAATAAAAACATGAGTACCAACATAACCTTTCGTATATATACCGACACGGTCCAAACAAGCATTCAGTTAAGTATTGGATACCCGATTTTTATAAACAATTTATAACAAATATAATGATTAATTAATATTATCTACAAACAATATCGTAGCATTTCAGTTAATTAATCTTACAATTAATTAATTATCAATTAACTAATCGAATTATTTGTCAATTAACTAATTGATCAATTATATAATTTAATACAATTTTGACTATATATTAAAGAGTTGAATATTTCAGGATAGAAATAATATCATTTCTGCTGTTGGGGTAGGTGTGTGTAATTTAGAGTGTGCGAATGTTTCGCGCTGGGATAGTTTTAGTTGACTATACACCAACGAATACAGAACTGATACAAACAACTAATTGACAACATTACATTCAAAAGTCAGCAACAACTCAACTTACGTCAATAGGGACCTCATCATCGCCCCAGCAGTGAAAGCATTTCTACCTACTACGCCATTAGATTCAAAGTTGATTTTTATAAAATCATCATCAACACCAACAACAACATTATCATCATAAACAACAACAACAACATCAACAACAACAAAAACATCATCAACAACATCAACAACATCATCTTCATCATCAACAACATCATCAACAACATCATCAACATCATCATCAACAACATCAACATCAACAACATCAACAACATTATCAACAACATCATCAACATTATCATCATCATCATCAACAACATCAACACCAGCAGTAGCTAACAAATCAACAACAACAACAAACCGCCGCTAAACACAACGACAGTAGCAGACCACATCTTCGCGGACGGCCGAATCACGGAAAGATTCAATCCTCCCCCTCCATACATTCATCTAACTGGGATTAAATTGAAACGAAATCAAATTTATTTAACAACAACAACAACAGCAACAACAACAACAGCAACATCGTCTTCATCATAAAAATTGAACTGCCAAAACATCAATAACATCTCATAAACTAACATCAATAAGACAACACTAAAATGTCTTCACAAACGCTCGAGCTTTAAAGCATTTTTGGCTAAAATAAAAACTACACAATTAAAAATAATTTCTAATCAAAATTTACGCTCTCACCTAACTCAACCTCCCTTTGCAGCAGGGATTTTTACGCTTCTGAACTCTTAAAGACCGAGCAACTGGCTGGCCGAGCAATGTACAACATCCAAGATGTCATCGTTCACAATCGTATGAAGCAAATGAAAGAGGAGCTGATGTCATCGCCACTATCGTCATCTGCGTCATCGTCGGCGTCACTACTGTCGACGTCTCTGACCTCATCGTCGTCGTCATCGTCGTCGTCACATCCGCACTCGCACGGCGTAAGGAACTGGATGCAGGCCATGGACCCGGTTATAATAAGGTTGGTTGTGTGGCTGGCTGGCTGATTGGACTTTAAGTGAGTTGTAATTTATAATATGATTATTTAGAGACATTAATTAGTGCGTGAATGTGTGTGTTTGTGTGTGTGTAGTGTGTGCGTGTGTGTGTGTGTGGGTTGGTGTGTGTATGTGTTCTAAATATCATGGCCCTACTTAAATAGAAGATTTGAGCAATTAATCAAATAACAAATTACAATTGCACATATGGGCACGAGTCTACACACACAAACACACATATATGGGTTATATATATATATATATATATATATATATATATATATATAACATCAATTAATATGCAAATGACTTCATTCGTCCTTGACATTGCTATTATTTTGTACTTGTATTCCAGGTTATTATTGAATACGTAGTTTTCTTTCTCTCTCTCTCTCTCTCTCTCTCTCTCTTTCTTTCTTTCTCTCTCTTTCTTTCTGTCTTTTTCTCTTTCTTTTTCTATGAATGTATATATTTATAATTATAGGGTATGTTTTACATAATATCAATAGCCCATTTAAATACAAATTTTTATACATTTATATGAATACACGTATACACGTATTGTATGTATGTTTGTATGTATGTTTGTTTGTTGGTTTGTATGTATGTTGGTTTGTATGTATGTTGGTATGTATGTATGTATGTATGTATGTATGTATGTATGTATGTATGTATGTATGTATGTATGTATGTATGTATGTATGTATGTATGTATGTATGTATGTATGTATGTATGTATGTATGTATGGGGGTATCTTTTGTAACTTCATTATTGACGTCACCGATGTTACGTATCTGAGTGACACGTGCACAGATTTGAATTATAATGATATATAAATAATGATGATGATGACCCTGCCATTTTAAATATGATGATGACGACGACGATGATGATGATGATGACGATGATGGTGGTGGTGATGATGAAGACGATGGTGTTGGTAGTGATCATTGGCGGTCCAGTGCACTCCAGCTGTGAGCAACACTTGTATTAAAAGTCAGTGAAACTCATTTTATAAGAAAAATGGACATTTTGAAAATTTGTCTGAATCTGCCACTGATGGTGATGAGGACGATGACGATGATGATGATGAAGACGACGACGGCGATGATGATGATGATGATGATGATGATGATGATGATGAGAACGACGATGTGGATTTCACAACTCGTCTCAATAGCTACTGAATGAATACTATCTCTCCCTATCAATTCAATTCAGCAGCAGCAGCAACAAAACTAACACCACCAACAACAGCAAAACTTGCACCTACAACACCAACAACACTTTCAACAACATCAGCAGTTCCAACACGGGGACGGGCTGCCCTGGCCTGGGAAAGGCCCACTTCGAAAAACAGCCCCCTAACAACCTTCGTAAGAGTAACTTCTTTCATTTCGTCCTGGCCCTCTATGACCGTAACGGCCAGCCCGTTGAGATTGAAAGAACTGCCTTCATTGATTTCGTCGAAAAGGAAAAAGTTAGTTTCGGGTTTTTTGACGCAATCGTTCGTTCGTTCGTTCGTTCGTTTGTTCGTTCATTCATTCATTCATTCATTCATTCATTCATTCATTCATTTTCAAATGCAGGAACGAGACGATACAAAGACCAACAACGGCATCCACTACAGACTTCAACTTTTATACTGCAACGGTTACTGGCTATAATTACTACTATCTTTATCACGACAGCCAAAGTGGTTAAACGTCTGGCTCTGCTGTCGCAATGACCGGTATCGAATTCAAAGAGATCCCCGCCTATTGTAACATGCAGTGTCTGTTTGATGAGCTAAACCTCGTGTATTATGTCTTTCTTCTTGATACAGCATAGAAATACTAAAAAAATAGAAATAATTATTATTATTATAATTATAATCGATATTAATTATAGTTAATCATTTTAAATATTTTTCCAGGCTTCAGGCAAGAACAGGACTTGTATGTCAGGCTAATTGATTCTACATCAAGACAAGTCAGTGTCCCTTGCTATTGTTGCTATAATAATTATTATTTGTTATTTATTTCCATAAGAGGAATATCGTTAACAATGACCAAAAAAAACAACAAGAGCCGCAATAATTATAACTATAATAATTATACAATAATTTAATAATTATAATAATTATTATTATAATTATAACTATAATAACACGTGACGTCATACGACTGTGGCGGTTGTGTAAGCCGCTTCTTCCGCATGGCTGTACGACTTCTGAAAATGTTGGCGGCTTGAACGGCTCCTCTCTTCATTAAAATACTCGCTCGCCATATGCGATTGCAATTAAAATTATTGCTGTTGTTGTTGTTGTGATTGCTGTTGTAATTGTTGATGTTGTGGTCGTTGTTGTTGTTGATGTTGTTGTTGACATTGTTGTTGATGTTGATGTAGAGGCTGAATTTGAAATGTTGACATTATTGCGGTATTAATAGCATCAAACACTAATTTCGGTAAAACATCAACAAACAACAACATTATCATCAACAACATCAACAACATCATCATCAACAACAACAACAACAACGTCAAACAACAACAGCATACGGACGAATTTGTATACAACCAACCGTTCGCCGATCACGTACTCAGTTAATTGACCGACAATTGCTTTCAAATACACACACACGCACGCACACACACATACAAACAAACACACATACAAACAAACTCACACACACACGCACAAACATACGGGTGATATTATATTTTGATTGTAAATAGTAGTGCAAGGAAGATAAACAATGAAACATATTAGCGTAGACTTTATGCCTGGTCTCCTAATATTAGTAGTAGTAGCAGTAGTAGTAGAAGCAGCAGCAGCAGCAGTTTTAGTAGTAGTAAAAGCAGTAGCAGTAGTGGTAGTAAAAGCAGTAGTAGTAGTAGTAATAGTAGTAGTAGTGGTAGTAGTAGTAGTGGTAGTAGTAGTAGTAATAGTAGTAGTAGTAGTAGCAGTAGTAAAAGACAGCAAGATGACGAAGTGGGAGTAGTACTAAGAAGAGGTAACCGATTGATTCACGCATCATTTAACATGTAAGTAAGCAATCTAAGTGAACAACAGCCTCATCAACAACAACAACATCAACAACAACAACATCAACAACAACAACATTAACAACAACAACAACATTAACAACAACAACAACAACAGCATCATCAACACAACCGTCAGATCGACAACAATAACAACAACATCATCATCGTCATCAACAACAACAACAACAGTAATACTAATAACAATAGTAAAAGTTTTGTCTTCAAAGAGAGTGTTGTTGTTTTAAATTGTGTTGTTGTTGTATATATGTATATATGTATGTGTGTGTGTGTATTGATTTATTTGTTTATTTGTCATTATTTCGCTAGGAATATGGTTGTTCCATTTCTTTCTTGGTTCGTTCATTTGTACACACTCATTCTTTCATTCATTCATTCACTCATTCATTCATTTATTCACTCATTCATTCATTCATTCCTTCATTCATTCATACATTCGTGTAATTAGCCCATCATATGTTATTTTTAGTACGGTTGGTTACAACTTCTATCAAACATTCATTCGTTTTTAGTTCATTTATTC